CTTCTAGTCGATTAATTTCGTTCTACTTTTCAGCACGTAGTGCTGATGCAATTCTTATACACGTCTTTCTCGTTCGTGTATTAAGTCAATTCTGAAATTAAATGTATATATACCTATATATTATAATGTAATATTTTACAAATTGGTGCATCTGTTTCTTTGACACATATTGCAGCGCGCAATCATTTGTCTCTTTTTCTCACTCTTTTCTGAGAAATTTCTTCTCTATAGCTCTTCTTACGCGCCTGCATCGTTTCTTCGAGAATTAATTTAAATGTCAACTCGTGTCACAAAATGACGGCCGAAAAGGAAGGCTTTAAGAAACAGGGTGACCGTCGCGAAGGTGTTCGTTGTTAATTACATACAATCAGAAAGACATTAGCCGCCTTCTGCACGAGACGCACACACTGTTAGATCTCGACCGGAAGAGCGTGTATGAAGTATTAGTGAGGATGAGAGCGGCGGAAGACAATGCAGTGGATACGAACTAATTGCCGGATTCTCCTCTGCCGTCTAGTGGACCAGGAAGATTAACTGCACACCCATCCCTCCTCGCCGTCCGCCCTCACCTCTGTTTTCTCCTCTCTAACCTTCTCGTCTCTCTTCGTTTTCCACCCTCTTCGTCGCTATATATACCGAGAGAGAGAGAGTGAGGGGGGGAGGAGAGAGGGAGAGAGAGAGAGAGAGAGAGAGATATCATCGGTTAGTGTAAATTATAAATAATAAACGTACGACGAAGGGAAAAATACGCGATGCGCGTGAAATACCGTCGCGTTTAAATTATCGTATCTTGGCGTATACGATGGTGGTCAACTCGCCCGTCTACAATTGGATCTTTTTATAGACGGATTCCTGGATTCCGGGACGCGACGAAGTTGAGAAGCTCGTCGCTGTCTTCGCACACGAAGGGCTTCACATGGTGGCAGGCCACGTCGTGCCATTTGATGCCGTCGTTGTAGAAGTTGTTCAAGATGGATAGGCAGGACTCGTCGTTACCCTGCAAGTGGACGAAATAATTCAACCCCCGAGTCTAACATAAGACTTCGTCCTCGAAGAGAAGGCGCTTAAGTTCAAATGACGCGTTT